CGCCTTTTCAAATAGCAAAACTCCCTTTTCAAATAGCAAAACTCCCTTTTCAAATGGCAAAACTCCCTTTTCAAATGGCGAAACTCCCTTTTCAAATGGCGAAACTCCCTTTTCAAATGGCGAAACTCCCTTTTCAAATGGCGAAACTCCCTTTTCAAATAGCGTACAAGGTCAAGCTGAGAACGATTTGTTAAGTTATGTTAAGTTAACAAATATGTTATGTTATGTTATGTTATACAGAACTTTGTATAAAGGCAATTATGCCAAAGGCAAAGCTAAACAAAGATTTAAAGAACTTTAGAAATTTTTTTATTTGCCGTAATTTGGAGACAATGTTTTTTTTCCAATAATGAGTGTATATTGTGCTTTTTAAGTATACAATAAATCCTTGATCAGTTGATCTTGTATAGGTTCGCATGGTAAAAATAGATATAATTGTTTTGTTTTGTGGACACTCATTTCTTTGTCTGGGCTTTGGCGAAGCTATCAACCCAAGTCCATTAATTGGTATAATAATTTAATACACACTGTCAGTGGTGAATATCCATGCAGGCTTACAGATATTTATTCAGGAAACCAACATCACAATTAGAAGTGTTTTTCTTAGGTTTCCTCCTGTAGTAGCACTGAATCAATAAGAGATGATCCTCACTGGACCTCTAAGAAGAGCAGTTTAGAACTGATAGAGCTATGTTCAACATCACTCCGCTCTTTCACATTAGTAAATCCTCTCTCGTCTTTATCTCTGCCAGCTTTAAAACAAAACAACTCCAAGGATACATCCAAACCATTTTCCTTCAATAGTTTCTTTCATTTTTGAGCTTATGATCAACAATTTACCTGAGGGTGTAAAATGATTAAGGTACCGGTCATTATTTATGGCAAAAGGTGGCGAAGAGAAAAGGGTTGAATATTGAAATATACGTGAAATTTTCTGGAATATTGTGTCAAAAATTAGATTAACTTTCAAAATTTTGTTGCCCGGCCAAAACTCCCTTTTCAAATAGCAAAACTTCTTTTCAAATAGCAAAACTCCCTTTTCAAAAGCAAAACTCCCTTTCAAATAGCAACTCCCTTCTCAAGTAGCAAAACTCCTTTTCAAATAGCAAAACTCCCTTTTCAAATAGCAAAACTCTTTTCAAATAGCAAAACTCTTTTCAAAAGCAAAACTCCCTTTTCAAATAGCAAAACTCCTTTTCAAATAGCAAAACTCCCTTTTCAAATAGCAAAACTCCCTTTTCAAATGGCGAAACTCCCTTTTCAAATAGCAAAACTCCCTTTTCAAATAGCAAAACGTCCTTTTCAAATAGAAAAACACCCTTTTCAAATACCAAAATTCCCTTTTCAAATAGCAAAACTCCCTTTTCAAATAGCAAAACTCCCTTTTCAAATAACAAAACTCCCTTTTCAAATAGCAAAACTCCCTTTTCAAAAAACTCCCTTTTCAAATAGCAAAACTCCCTTTTCAAATAGCAAAACACCCTTTTTAAATAGCAAAACTCCCTTTTCAAATAGCAAAACTCCTTTTCGTACAGCCCAACACTAGAAAAAATGTGCCCCAGGATCCCCTAGTGGTTCACCCCCTCCCCCAACAATTGCACCCCTAGTCTGGTGTTAGATAAAATTTTTCATTACCATCTGTTGTCTTCATTCGAGACTTTGTAAACACTTTTTTCCTCTAATGTTGCCAGTTCAGTGAAAGAAACATTCCTGGAGTACATTGTCATCTTTTTCTCCTTTCTGTTGAACCAAATTTCCTCTTCAAAATAAATTGCTGGCTCACTAAAAAACTAAAAGATAAATACATGTTCAATGAGAGCAAATGATTCAACCCATTCATGCAGTCCTACATTTTTCCAATCGCAAGTAAAATGATCTAGCATACATGTGTCAAAGTATAAACACAGGGTTGGCATACCATTTGTAAAGACCATGGAACAATATTAGCACACTTCCCTTTTCTTTTTATATAATCTACATTTCTTTCCACATCTGAAAAATCAAGTAATTTTTATTTCAGGTTTTAATAATTAAACGATTAATTAAGCGCTCTCCCCTTCACAAGTAAAATATCTGGTGTTAGACAGAGTAAAATAACAAAGTAGGGCACATCAGGACGCAATGCGAGTCAATTAATAGGCCAGTGAATAACTCATTAAGCAGCAGCGCTCTCCAGTTGACGAGTAAAATAATCTGGCGTTAGACAGAGTAAAATAATAAAGTAGGGCGCATCAGGGTGTAATGCAACTCAATGGGTTAAAAGGTCTTAAAATAGGTTGTTACATGACAAATATTTATGTGTGAATTCATGAAAGTTCATGTTTTCCTTATGATTGCAACTTTTCCTCTGCTGCTCAAAGGTGGGGGCGGGGGGGGGGGGGGGGGGGGGGGGGGGTACTCAAAGAAACTGCATCTATAAAATAGGCAGCAAGATAGTATCAATACACCCTATCAATAAGTAAGTCATTTGGCCTGGGAGCCTCATTCTCATGAATCGTGAGCCAATCAACTCGCATAATTAATTAATTTACTGATGAGAGTGAGGCTCCAAGACCAAAAAGTATGTGTGACGTAATTATCGAAAGGGTGTATTGGGGAGGTGAAAGTATATACCAAAGGAATCCTGAGCACATGCCAAAACCATTTTTTCAATTTTTCGAAAGCCCAATTTTATTACCTTTTTTCTCTTCTACTATCCAAATTTTTTCAACATTTTTTTCATAACCAGATGTATACTGTAATAAATTAATAAATAATGACAATATGTTTCATATATCACACAATTTCATACAAATATATTAAGATGAAAAATTATACTAAAATCTCACCTTTCTGAAATAAGCGTGGATGACTGAGTCAAATGGATACTTAAAAACATAACTAAAGTTTAAAACTTTCACCATTTCCAGTGTACCATTACACAAAAATACAAAATAATCAAATATATTATATTATTAAATGTCCCAGATTTAAATGCCGTTTTCCGGGTAATAATATACCCATCACTCAAAATAACAAAGATGGCGGTCGTCTAGTTATTGATGTAATAATTCATATCAACAATGCTTAGTTTTGATCTGACTATTTAACAAGACTTTATAGTTACGATTTAAAGTTTCATGTCATTTCTTTTAAAACCAAAAACGTTTCTTTGTCAAAAAATAATTTTCTTTTTGAGCGATGGAAAGATGTATTGAAACACAGAAAGTCCGCTGCTGGTCACTTGTATTGCTGGCACATAAACAAAAAAGTTACAAATTTAAAAAAATTTTACTTTATATTCCTTATTATTTTTCATCAAGAAATTCGAATTTTGAATGACTGGGCGGGAAAAATATTTTACGAGACATATTTTGAGACGAGGAGATGGTTTAGAATGCCCAAACGAAGGGTCTTCCTGCTTGAGTGAGTAAATTCTCGCCTTATGTCTTACCTATATCTGGCAAATATATTAGATATGTGCGTTCATTGGCTGAGACTTGCATTGCGGGGTTTCCTTAGAGGCTAAGCTGTAGATCTGAGGGTAGTATTAAACTGTCTTTAAACAGTTCTCTCTGGGCACTGACTGGTATCTTCATGTAGTACCATCACACCAACAATGAATGACTCTCACTGGACCTCTAGGGAGATCTGCTTACAACTCATAGAGCTATCCAGTATAAATAAAGTTAGTTATACCGTGTATGTATTGCACAGTACTGTATTGTACCACAGTTCATAAACATTAAGTGTGTACGTTTAGTAAACCTTCTGGTGTCTCAAGGTGAAGAAAATGTCTTATTTGAAGATAAAGATACTGAATGGCTTGTTGGACAAGGTACTGGATAGTTATGCCTTTCAATATTATCAACATAACCATTCAACTTGGATGGTTATGCCTTTGAATATTATCAGCATAACCATTCAACTTGGATGCATGGTTATATCTTTCAATATTATCAGCATAACCATTCAACTTGGATGGTTGAATGTTATCAGCATAACCATTCAACTTGGATGGTTATGAAAAAGTTAATCATAACCATGGTTCACATTAATCAATTTAATCAAAAAGAGCAAGCGTGGGGCCCATGGCATATGGTTAATCCAGCACTTGTTCTGTCTAATGCCAGATGATTTTACTCATTAAGGGGGCACTCAATGGGTTATATAATTGATATTTGAATATATACTCTGGAGTCAGTTAGATTCAAGCCATTGGGTGCCCCATTTGAGGTCTGTGGTTTAACCACAGGTTTAACTGTATATATTGCCTTCATACTTCAGATTCAGGTTATGTTTCGGAAATTGTGAACGAATGTTTGGAAGAAATGCATGCTGGGGAGGTTTGCAGAATATCAATTCATCCTTGTCAGGAACTTCAGGATCATTTAAAGAAATTTAAGACATCAGAAAAACTTGCTGCTGATTATCAAATAGAGTTAATTTCATTTGAGAAGGTAGTATTATACGTGGTTCAAAATATTTCCATGTCCATGCTATATGTTGTCAATCGAATAGGGATACCTTCCTTTGACTCTCTCCTCTGCAGAGCCTCCTTAAGTAATTACAAATAACTAACATGAAGTTTCCTGAATAAAACTGAGCGCCTGCAGAGTGATGAGAAGATTGAAAGCTCTTCCCATCACTCCTTGCGTGCTGACTTTTCCCTCACTAGAAACTTCATGTAAGCCCCTGAGGAGAGAGTTCCTTTGATATTATGTATTTGAAAAACGAAATACGAAGATAACATTGCAAATACATCTATTTTCCATTCATTCACATAAGGGACAATGTGTTAGGATCCGAACGCACCTTCAGAGACATGTGGGAAATGGGAATGACACTAAATACACTCTAGCTATACGGTAAATGCGTTCTGTGCGTTCCGTACGCATTTCACGCGCGTGTCACGGTTACGCGTTCTGTGTGCGTCATGTACGAAAATCGCTTCCAGATTGAGTCTGAAGAGTATGCGCATAATATGCGTAACATAATATTTGTAGCGCAGTTTGTAATCATTCAATTTCAACATTTTATCACGCAGGTCAAAAACAGCTGGGAGTTAACATTTGAAGAAAGATGCAGCTATGCATTGGAGCAGAAAGCGAAAGGAACAAGATATCACAAAGTGCAGTAGAATTCATAAAAACGTGATTATTATCACATGTTATGTTGATCGCATGTTCATCTCATGTACATATACTGATTAATTAAAAATGTGAATATCCTATCTTCGATTCAGGCAGGTCTGTGGTTGTTTGCAGCCAGGCATTACAGCAAAGCTTTAAAGAGTCTTATTTTGGCTAGATGTCAGCTGCCAAGTGATAAAAATAATGATGACTTTTGTGAGTGATGGCTTTATATTGAGGGGCGCTTTCCATTAACACGGCCAGAACGGTCAAATTATTGAATGAAACACAACACGTTTGGAATTCGGACCTATCTGACCGGAAAAGTTTAGATAAAATTAGAATGAGGTTCATTTCGCTAGATATTTGAGAAACATAGACCAGATCTTTCCATTGATACAGAGAAAAGAATTTGGGTCTGACCAGTCAGGACCTGAATCATGATACTGATGACCTGGTGGTTCTAAATGATCAGAATACAGTAAAAATATTGGAAATATATTCATAGATCTTCTCCAAGTGCAGTGTCACTCAAATCTCGCGGCTTGTCAGTTAAAGTTGGAAAGATATCAACATGTTCTAGAGAATTGTACCAAGGTATATAATGCGCTGCCCATACTACTCAACTAACTTTAGGTGGTACTTGATAGTATTCTACAATAAGCTATCGTTGTGTGTGTCTGAACTACCATAAAAGGTTAAAAACACTTCATAGTCTAGAGAGCAAGGTTGTACTAACCGTCATACGAAATGCCATCGCACAGAATCCTTTTCGGGTAGTTCAGACACAAATTACGAGAGCTATACATTTATACGTCTAAAATTCGTTGTAGGTTATTCAGATGGACTCCGCTAATATCAAGGCATTTTACAGACGAGCTCAGGTAAGCACATCGACCGTATAGTTGTTTAGAATTCTACCTAGTTACAGTACACCCCAGATTTGATAAAACATGATTGATCATATGTAATTGTATAATGTTTAACGTCCTAAGCCTAGCTAATGTGCAATTTTGTCTCCCGCTATATAGGCATGCATCGCTCTCAATGATTTTGATGAAGCAACCTCTGATCTAAAAAAGGTGAGATGATCCTTACTGGATCTCTGGGGAGAAAAGTTATAGAACTATAATTTAGGTTTCCTCCTGTAGTAACAGTGGATCTGTAAGAGAAGATCCCTCATCCCAACTCGCAAATAACATTAGTTTAGGTTTTTCTTTTGTATATATAATAACACTGGATCAATAAGTTTAGGGACGACTCTTACTGGACCTCTAGGAAAAACGGCGTAGAACTGATAGCGCTATATCCAGTATGAATAAAGTTAGTTTAGTTTAGATTTCCTCTTGTAGTAACACTGGATCAATAAGAGATAATTGACTCTTACTGGATCTCTAGGAAGAACAGTTTAGAACTGATAGAGCTATCCAGTATGAATAAAGTTAGTTTAGTTTTTTAAAGTATATGTTCTCCCTTAACCAGGCATTACTTCTTGACCCAAAAAACAGAGAAGTCTTACAGTTGAAGAAACAACTGAGTGAGAAAATACAACTACACGATCAGGCGACAGCTAAAGCTATGGGGAAAATGTTTCGGAATTAACCATGCAATGATGGCGTAGACAGTCTATATAGGCAATTGACCATTCACTGGCCATTTATGCATATATGTGGTGAAAATTTTGCTAATGAAAGAACAAACTTGTCGGTGTGCCAACAGAGATATCAGCTTCGATGCAATGCAAAATAATAATCATTAAAACGTACTCCACTAATAAGACTGTATGTGAAGATTTTAAAATGTGAACCTTTCTTTGTACTAAATAATTTTGTAAACTATAAGAAATAAAGAAAATTGTGTGAAAGCATTTAAAACTGAAATAGTATAGTAAACATATGTGTGCATGCTAATCTAATTAAACGGTTCACTGGCAAAACAGTATAGAAATAACGGATCTTTTATATCAGGGAGGACCATGGTAAATTGGGATTCTATTATACGTAGTACGATAGTTTAGTTTAGGTTTCTTCCTGTCATAGTAACACTGGACGCTGGATCAATAAGAGATGATCCTTATACTGGACCTCTATGGAGAATAGTTTGTGAACTGATAGAGCTTTCCAATATAAGTAAAGTTAGCCTTCTTTTCTACTTCACTGTTTAATAAAAAACTAAACCACTAGTAATTTTAATTTTAAATTATCCGTGACCTCGTGGGGATTAGTTTACAAGAAACAGGTTGCCAGATTGTTTTGGTAAAGTTAGTGTATAAATCTTCTTTACAAAAACAGGTGGCCTCTTATATACATAACAATATATTTTTAAATCCCAACATAAACTATAATCGGGTGCATGAAGTCGAAATTTTAACCAGAAAATAGAAAAAAAATTGAAGCACAAATTAAGATGAAAGGTAGCTGTGCACTGTGGTTGGCAATTCTGGTGATTTTACAAAGTTTTGTCGCGGGATTGGCGAAAAAGGAAGAAGGTAAATTTGACTTCGTGACCATTTTGTTCAGATTTTGTTATTTAGGAAATTCTTTTCTATGAGGAACGCATTCAATTGATATATTTAAACATTTGTGGACAAGAAATAAGTGGTGTTTTAAAGACTAAAGGCAAAGCATTAAAGACCGGTGATCTCTTAGGATAAACTGCTGTTAATTTCCCAAGGAATGGCCTTTGTTTGAAACGCGTCCATGTTCTGCTCATGCATATTTTTCACGTAGAGTGTCTTGTATAAATTAGGCCATTATATAAAGGCCGTTCAAACGACGCCAACATGTTGATCTTACATCATGCACTAATAAATGAATATAAATTTCCAGTCGATAATTTCCATCTACAAAACCCTCAACTGATTGTTCATGGCCTCGTTTGAATACTATGTTGGGTAATGATGGGAGAGGCTGGACTGAGTTTGGCTTTGTTTAAAATTTTCATTCAACATTGTTGGATCAAAAATGTTGGAGATGTTTGAACGAGGCTTAAAGCCCTGGGCAAACTATAGGAAACATACTTGTTGTGGAAACATTCGTGATTCTCGCTGTTTCCTCAAATGTTTCCATGTTTGCCCACCCTTGGAAACATTGTTGCGGAAACAAAATTTGCTTCCCGAGAAGCAAAAATGTTCTCTAGCGAATTCAGAAACATTTGTCATTTGATGTTTACCTATGTTTCTCACTAATGTTTCCTAGTGTTTGCCCACTCTGGGAAACATGGCGAAACATTGATAGGAAACAATGTTTCCGCAACAATGTTTCCTATAGTTCGCCCAGGGCTTTACTGTAATTATAGAACTTTAAGGCCTGATTCCACGAGGCGGAATTTTTCGACCGAAACGAAATTTCTCTTTGTCTTTGTAGTTCAGTTTTTGAATAAAAGGCATTTTAGGTTAAGAATCGGTGACATTGTCCCTTTAAGCTCTCTAATATATTATCATGCATTATTATTGACTCAAGAAAAACATCATCAAGCGAAGTCAAAAGTTCACGAACCACACGAATCCTCGCCGGAGGCTCTTCTCAAAGCTGCTCCACTTGGTTTTGGCATTGGGCTTAAAGCCACTGTACCTGGATCAAGCAAGCAGAGCAAAACGGACGACAAAGGCGTTAAAACTGAATCGGAAACGAAAACGGAGACAAAGGGAGGTTTAAAGACTGTCACAACCGTTACAAAACAAATTAAGATGGGTAAGAACAAGAAGCCAGAAGTCATTGGGCAAAGCATGGAAAGTTTAACAACGAATGTGTTCGATCCAAAGGAGCCAGGAAAGTTCAAAGCTGGCAAAATGGAAGGGAAGCATGGGTTCAGTATGTTCGACCTCTTTAATCCATTTGGAGTTGGTTTGTTCGCTGACGAACCAATAAAGGTAATTGTGTCAGGTTATAGCAAAATAATTTTCACCATGATCAAGTAGTTTTGGTGAG